TTCTTATCGCACCCACGCGTCCATCTGCCTGGTGGCTCCCAGGCGGCAAAGCGCGATTCTACCTACCAGGAACCAGCTGGATGGGATCTGATATCAAACAGAACAGGCGTCGAAAGCATCGAAAGAGGTGCGACGCGCTGCCGCGATGAAAGACTGCGGCGCCGCCCGAGACTTTACTGGGCTTTTGGACTGGCATCGCGTCTCAGAGCACTTTTGTCGCTCAAGATCGCGCATTTTTACGCATTATGACCACATACTCTGGAGTAACAAGAATAGCATAGAATGAATATTTTATTATCAAAAATATCTCTGTTCGCCGCCTTCACATTTGACCCCCTCACTGTAGACTAATCATGATCCCCTCATATTCGGCGCTTGCGAGTCCGATTTCAGGTTTCTTGGAGTGCACGTCTGGCGATAATGACAATCACATGCATGCTGCATTGGAGTCATGTCCCACTTCTGAGACTCAAATTGTAGGCGCTAGGGCTTCCCTGACGAGGCATATTCAAGGATGACAATGTAACATTATCTGCTACCGTTTTAAGAATGACCTGGGTCTGGTTGGGATGCTTGGGTAACGCTAGGAACCACTTTGGATCTGCAGCAACTGCCTGTTAAGTGTGGGCCTTCCGGTCCGACACGGACGACCGGCACGTCGTGCACAATCCGAGAATGCCCGACAAGTATATAGCTGCTGACTTTGTTTCATGTTTTGATCGGCTGAGACCCGTTTTGTACTCATTGCTCAATGGCAGTACGGGAAAACGGTAGTGTGACGGCCGTCGGAGTGGAAACAATGGTCATTGAGGTTTTTCGAAAACGCTTGTGTCCTCCTTAGCATCTGGAGAGAAGAGCATTGATCCCTTGGCCAGACATGAGCAGCGTATTCTCTAGGAGACTGGAGAGAACTTGACAGTAGAGCTAAACAAGGAATGGGTCGCCAGCAGCTTTCAGGACCGGCAACCTAGGCCCCCTGACTCCTATCTCTGCCTTGACCGACATGGGAATGCGACGCAGTAGTGCGAAGAGCCTCACCTACAGGGTGGTGTATGAAATACTTTCATTTGATGTAATGGATGAACGGAGACAAAGTCCATGAAGCCTTGACTTGAGTAATTACTCAAAGCTGGGCTGTCAGAATATACTACATAAATTTAAGTAGAAGCATATGAATGGTATGTATGGAGATAGAAATAAGCTGCGGTAACTTCTCGATCCCCGTAAGACGTGGGTTTGAATTTGAACCGAGCATACGAGAATTTTGCCAAAACGACATGGGCACGATTGTCTACAAAGCGGGACAGTGGGCCAAAGGTCAAAGTTACAAGAGCATCTACAAGTCTTTTCACCCAGAGCATGTGCTTGAAAGTTCAACTTTGCGACGTACTCTATCAGGTATTATCCCGAGCTGCTCAGGAGCATCTACATCCGAAGGTGTGCTTCACGTGCCAAGTAACTGCTGGTAAGAGTCATGCCTCTATGACAACAATGTTTCAAGCTCGCTTACTGTGAAGTGCCTCAATCATAGCAAGATGTGTGTTACGAGTTATACACGGCTAAGCCACGAAGCTGCGCCTCAGTAGCTAGTCCGCTGGTGGACTCGAGCGCGACTCCTTGTTTTCCATCATAAAGGGGCACAAAGAGCCATTGTAGCATTCCTTCGACTTCTTGTTCTTTATCTAGTAATTATACATTCAAGGCCTCGTCCTAGCGCGACGCTCGACGACCAGCTCCTTACAATATGCAATGGGCTGGCTCTCTCTGTGACATCCACTGTGAGTGGGTGGTTCGTGGTAGAGTGAAGAGATTGTCCACATGTGGTACATGTGGTCTGTAGGTAATAGATAATAGGTATGGGGTTATGATATATCTGAATCTTTGGCACTCTGTAGCTTGGAGGGTCTCCGTAGTCTTTATACATACGTTGTCATAGTCCTTACCCCTAATTACCCGCCCTGTTTTGCGGTTTTGCAGGGCTACCCGATTCCCACCATGAAGTCTCCTCTGGCTAGAAATATATCAGTACGACGGATCAGTCTTTTTGAATATGGTAATTAATTTAAGTCTTACCTTATTTCTATTACTGAAATAGGGCCGGTGAGAACCCCCTCTGATCAGGGCAATGGAGAAAAAGATAGGTGCTCGAATGTGTGGTGAAGGATTCATGATCTCCCCTTCTGGGGCCCTCGCAACGAGTCTACCTAATACCTGTTTACCTGATCAGCCACTCCTTATCACTTTATCGCTCAGCCACACCTTTTTGCCCTGCCCGGTTTCATTACAACGAGAACAAAACGCCTTACGATACTAATTGCCTGGATTAGTAACATAAGCTTATATAATGTATTAAGCTAGACCCATCTATTAGTACTTCTCGCCCCCTAAAGTTTGCTTCGTCATAATATGCCAGGCCGTAACATATACATGGCTAAATGGCCCATTGAGAACCAGAATCTGTGGAAAAATAGATAAGTGTGCTCTGCCAGTTCAGTCCCATCATCACTGAGGGACACCCCTGGGGTTGGGGGACATCAAATTTCAGGCTGAAAACAGACTTCAAGGACGAGATACGTCGCCCGATTTCAGACGGGACTGCGTCGGAAGTACAGCATTTCTTCAAATCCCGTCAGCTAAATAAGGTGACACGCCCGCTACATATTTTCTATTTTCTTGATGACCTGAAGAAGCCAATCATGGCTTGTCCCGATTGCGTGACGCACATGGCGTACCACCAACCTGCTCCAGTCGCCTACCCACCAGACCCCCTCAAGCTGGCCGATTGGCATTCCGAAGCACGCAAACAACGTCAACGCAACTGGATGCTGTGCTTGGAAGAGTCTGATATACTCTTTTGAAACCTTGTACAGCCAAGAAAAATAGTCGCTGATAAGTGGCTGTTGTCCGTAAGTCAGACCGTAGCATCGTATAAGCAAGAGCGAAGCCCCTTCGAGTGCTTCCAGCTCTGTTGTTTCGGTAGTGCGAATTCTAATCTCGGCTAGAAAAGACGACAAAGCCCTCTGCTGGGGACCGTAGGTGTCAGGTGTCGCTGGCTTGCTCAGCAATGCCGCTCGCTCGCCTCCAATCCGGGCCAAGATGGCCGGGGGCCCTGACCAGATAGACGCCTCATCATGCAATTCGAAGATGGCTTTCGTGCCCCGGTAGAGTACGACCCACGCCAAAGAATCGCTGAATTCCCCTGAAGCAGCGACTTTCGCCCGCGCCTCATACCAAGTTTTCGCGAGCTGAAAGATTATGATCATGCTCGAAAAGTAGAAAAGTGCAGTCTGTTGCGGTCGGAGACGGCTTGCATCTCTTGCTTGGACCGAGCAGCGCTTGTTGATATAGCTGAAAGCTCCGTGACTGGTGAGACTGGCACTCGTTCCCAGACGAAAGATACGCGAGGTGGGATGATGAGACAGCCAGAATGGCATGCAACAAGAAACGAAATGACATGGCTTCTTTGGGTATTGCGACCTGCCAGAGGGGGTTCAGTCGTGCGTCGGAATGCAGGGTTTGGGCTGTTGACACCGTGAAATGGTGCAGCAGCATCATGTGGTTGGTGCTGAAAATAAGCTCGTCGCCACCTTTCCCGTTCTGTGGGGGAAATCGTGCTCTAAGCTGAGGACTGACAGAATCGCGTGTGTCTGCCGTTGCCTGGTACTCACACGACGTGCTGTGAATTCTACAGTTTCGGCAGTGCGGCTTCCCCTCGTCGCACTATGGGTATGAGGCTTAGTCTCTCATCCAGCAACAATTTCATGACGAAAGTCCTTGCTGACCTTGATCTTCCTTCGTTTACAGCTGACGCATCCCGTTCTGCTTTTCTTGTGCGATTGACGAATCATGCTTGTGTTCGAATCTGGGCCACGCCAACGAGCATGGCTTTATTGAGGCTCCATTCAACTGAGGCTCCATTCAAAGTTGTCGGATTTCGCGGCGATGCGAAGCAGCATCGCGAAGCAGAGATGCCATAGGAAGAGCAAAGGGGAGAAATGGACGCAAAGAATTGCCTCAGACCTCGACCCGGTTCGAGATGGGCCAGTTCGAGAGACGATGGTGAGGACGTACTCCACCTCTCGACCCGAGGACCTGAACCCGAGAGAGGCAAGCTTGAACCAACGAGCAGTCCCCAAACCCGAGTTGGGAGGATCAGCCTTGACCACAAAAGTCACTGGTGACGCTAGCTTCGGGGTATCTGGGGCAGCAAGCTGGGGAAAGGGCTCCACGTGGGCTGGGGAAGATGGAGCAATTGAGTTTGGGTTCTCCAATGGGGGGACAGACTGTGTGCACTAAACCTCGGACCGGATACGAGACCAGGGGGAGGTCCGTCCCGACCGGCCCATGGCGGTGGTCTGACTGCCTCTGAACATTATCTGACGAGTTTCGGGACGTTGCCCGATCCAAAAAGATCCCCAGGCGATCGTGGACTTGTGGGGCAATGGGAGAGAAATGCAACGGTCATAGTAGGCCCTTACCCTAAAATTGGATAGATCAAGCATTTCTACTCTCTTCGTCTGAACATTGGGGTTGACTATCGGACCGAAAGTCTCCATCACCTAACCCTGTGCCAGGAAGTCCTTAGTAAGTCGACGTCGATTGTAGGACCTCCTTCTTCGTGGCCGTCCACTTAGCTAGTCAGAATCCAGTCAATGCCCAGGATTCTCGCGAAAATCTCCCCAGTAACTCCCTTCTCGCAAAGACGCGAAGATCCGACTTTGTCATGATCCCAATGATTCGTTGCTTGCTGCTGGCTAGTGCCGGCGTGATGCCGGTGATTCCAAGTCACCAGTGATAATCACTACAGGCCCCGAGCTTTACCGTACTTCTGGGCTACACACCATGGGTCCAACTTGTTCCTGCAGCATCAAGAAGCTTGCAGTTGGTACTGATCCTGAAGTATAAGTAACCGAGTTGCCCTCGTGGAGCTTTGTGAACTTTATCTGAACCTGCTCACCGACAAGTCATCTGTAGCAGTCCTTCTCGATCTCGTTGCGAAGATGGTTCTCACAAACTTAGTATTGATCATTAGTGCCGCTGTGGTTCAGGCGGCTACCTCGAGCGCCTATGGTTGCGGTGCCCAACACAATGGTACGTACTCCGATGAGCCCGAGACTTTCGTCTTTGTCTGGAGCTGGGTGAAAAGTGTACTGACGCTAAGATAGGGACGCTGAACTGGACCGAGGCGCTTGCCATGGCCGAAGTATTCACTGTCAAACTGACGCTCGAAGAGAAGATTCAAATGGTCACGGGTAATTCCTCAGCAAACTCATGTATTGGGAACATTGCCCCCGTGCCTCGCCTCGGATTCGGTGGAATCTGCCTGGTAGACGGACCCAGCGCGATCAACCGCGCTGACGGTGTCAGCGTGTTCCCGTCCGGCATCACCTCGGCCGCCACATGGGATAAGAAGCTGATCTACCGCCGCGGGTTTGCTCTTGGTGTTGAGTCCAAGGGCTATGGTGCCCACGTGCTCCTCGGGTAAGTCATCTTTCTTTGACAACCACCGATGATGGAAGCTGAGTGAGATGCAGTCCTTCCACCAATCCAATGGGTCGTCATGCTCTGGGCGGTCGCAATTGGGAAGGTTTTGGGCCCGATCCGTACCTAGCCGGCCTGGCCATGGAGTCCAGCATTCACGGCATGCAAGATGCTGGTGTGCAGTCCTGCTCCAAGCACTATATCGCAAACGAACAGGAAACTCAGCGATCAAACGACCCTGATCCGTTCGGAAATCCGGTTCTCGGCATCTCCTCCAATGTTGACGACAGAACTCTGCATGAGCTCTATCTCTGGCCTTTTGCCAACGCTGTCCGGGCGGGCACGACGTCCATCATGTGTTCCTACAACCGTGTCAACCAGACGTACGCCTGCGAAAACGAGTACCTGATGAAGGACATCCTCAGAGACGAGCTGGGCTTCAAGGGATATGTTGTGTCGGATTGGTTCGCGACCCACTCGACTGCCGAGTCTATCAATGCTGGCCTCGACGTGGAGATGCCTGGACCTGTTCCCAGCCGTCCCGAAAGTCCGTCCTTTTTCGGAAAGAAAATAAACGCGGCTATGAAAGAAGGTCTCATATCCGAGGACCGTCTGGATGAAATGGTACGCAATGTCATGGCTCCGTACTACTACCTCGGGCAGAACACCCCCGACTATCCCACCGTCGACCCAGCTGGACGATTCGGCATGGTGGCTACCGAGATAGGGATACCTCAAGCTATGGCAGCTGGGATGCTGCCTAAAGATGTGGTTTTCCCTCGTGGCCGGAACAATCGCAGAAATCACGCCAAGCTCATCCGAGAAATGGGCTCTGCTGGTACTGTGCTCCTCAAGAACGTCAACAACACCTTGCCAATCAAGGCCCCCAAGGTTATCGGCGTATTCGGAAACGACGCCGCAGATCCGACCCAAGGCTTCCACCGTCGCACGGCACAACCCAACGACGTCAACACAGGCACGATGGTCATCGGAGGTGGATCAGGCTCTGCTCGTCTCCCTTATGTCATCGCGCCCTTGGAGGCGATCAAGGCTCGGGCCCGGGAGACCGATGCTGAGGTTCTCTACATCACGGACAACAAGGCCCTGGCTGCCAATTATTTCCATGGCGTGTACCCACCTCCCGAGATCTGCTTTGTGTTCCAGCAGACCTTCGCCAGCGAAAGCTTTGACCGTACCGACTTTGAACTTGATGGAAATTCGACACAAGTCATCAAGAACGTGGCCAACTTTTGCGCCAACACTGTGGTCATCACTCACTCCGGCGGCGTCAATACCATGCCATGGGCTGACCATCCCAAGATCGGCGCCATTCTGGCGGCGCATTATCCAGGCCAGGAGACTGGCAACTCCATCGTGGACCTCCTCTGGGGTGATGTAGCGCCGTCCGGTCGTCTACCTTATACCATTCCCCGCGAAGCTAAGGATGCCGGGCCCCCGATCGTTAACCTGACGTATCCTCTTCCGAGTCCCGGTGCCTACCAGGCTGATTTTGTCGAAGGCCAGCTTCTGGACTACCGCCATTATGACGCCCTAGAAATTGATCCCCTGTATGAATTCGGCTTCGGTCTTACCTACACCACGTTTGCTATCGACGAGGTTGTATCAGCAGCACATGTTGGCAACAGCAGGTTATCTGCTCGTCCAGACGCGCGGAAGGAAACCTCGCCTGGTGGTAACCCGGATCTGTGGGAGGAGGTCGTCGTCGTCAGCGCCAAGATTTCCAACACTGGCGACCGCGCTGCTCATGCCGTGCCCCAGCTGTACCTGTCTTTCCCCGCCAGCACACCAGAGGGAACACCGGTCAAGGTTCTGCGTGGCTTTGAGAAGATTCTCCTCGAAGCTGACGCCGAGACTGCGGTTGAATTCTCGCTGATGCGCAGAGATGTGAGCTACTGGGACACGGGGCTTCGGGACTGGGTGATTCCGAAGGGAGAGTTCACCTTCCGCGTAGGCTTCAGCTCGATGGATTTGCCCGCGGAAACCACATTTGCTGTGCTGAAGTAACATCCTACAGCGTTCAGCATGAAAGCGTTCGAAGGTGGTATCTCAGTGTTCTCGTTTTCGCTCATACGAGGAAATAGTGGCTGCAGCCGCAGAGCCTGTCGATAGTCCACGAACAAAGTGAAAGCCAGCGAGACCCTTGAAGGCGCAAGGGATGACCTGTGGCTTGCTTTTATCTTCTTCTCATAAATCAACGCTCGATTCTCGATGGCATTATATTGGCAAGTACATCCTCAAAGTGAACATAGGTGGAGCGGAAAGTAAACCGTACAGTGAGCTCAACGAAACCCATCTCTGCCAGACCCTTGTGCCAGGAAGCATCGCATTCCGTAGATTTAGTTAAACTGAGGCAGTGTTGTACCAATAATTTCGCAACATGCAATCCACACAAATGAACGCAAAGCGATTCATCTATGCCAGGAGGCTGACAGAATTGGACGACCCAAAGGCGCGGAAAAGGCTATCCCCTGCGTAGGGTTATGCTGATCGACTCCTCTCCACTGCTGTTCGAGTATTCCGATGCTGGCCGTCGCACCTGTCGCGCTCACGGCCGTTAGTACCGATTATTTGTTGTAGATGACGATCGCAGCGGCTGGTTGTGATCAGATGATATGGGCTAAGGCCAAGGACGAACTTGCTGACAAGACCTTTACAATGCTTGAAAGAAGTCAGCCTTGCCAGCGTGTGTGACTCCCACTGCCTTGAGTCCGTTTTAGGCGTTCGAGGAAAAGGTGAAAAGGAGCCAAGAGCGGCGAAAAGCGATACAGCGTGGAAGGGCTGGCCACGGTGATTGGTCATGCGGAGCTGGCAGGGCAGCGGGCAGTGCTCTGCTGATGAGACTGTCTGGCCTGAATGAGTGGCGTCTGGGGGCGGCTGAATGCAAGGCAAGCAAGCGATGCGATGCCGGCATGAGGCTTCGAGGCCGAGAAATGCCACGACCCCTGCCTGAATGAGCCTGGTGCCGAGTATCGAGAACGAAGGCATGTCAAATGATGCCTCACCTGAGGTCGGGGCCGGCAGGGTCCGCCTCGCTGGTGGATCGAATGGATCACGACCTTCTGCCTGCACGGCCAATGGGCTCGCGGGTACATGCGGCTCGGCTGCCTACCTTACCTACTGTACCTGAGATGGGTACATCAGTGAGCAACGGCTGATGCTCTGACAGGATGCCGACAGCTAGGCATGGTCAGCACGGCGGAATTCTGAGTATCTGCGGCAACACCGGCTTCGAAGGATCGTCTCGTCTTGTTGCACTAGAGGGTCCGATATGCAAGTTGAGGCCACCCCCAGCCAAGGTTCTTGGTCCCGCTTGGCCTTCTAGAAGGGGTCTCCGGTGAAGCGAAAACAGGCACACGTGATGGCAATTTATGTCCACCTTTGGCCAGTACGCCACTGCGCCCAAAAACTTAGGTCGGTGGCGTCTGCGCCCATTTTGTGCCCCCAATCGGACGGTGTGAGAACCCCCCGGAGAGCCCTGTAATGTAGGGGGGTCCTTAGTGGACAATGGCCTACTCGACTGTCCCCTGTGACACGGATGCATGGCTGACACCGGGAAGGAGGTGGGGCAGGGACGCAGGCAGGAACGCAGGCAGCCTCCATGTCCGCCTCTTGCCAACCACATCCATCCACGTGACAGACACCATGCCCTTGGAGAACAGACACAAACAGAGTACCGAACCATCCATCATACCATGACAATGCAAGGCAGATTTCTGCCTTGTTTCCGGCAACCATCTGCCGCCTATGGTCCGGTCTCAAGCCAGGTATTGCTCAGGCGAATGAGGCCCATGCCTGGTGCCATAGTCTCATGCAGATTGAGGCGCCACAGACAGCCATCACAATGGTTGTGACAGCCCGATATAACAAGGACCATCTGCTCTCGATCGGTCTGGCATTCGGATCCTGGTGTCCCCGTCATCTAATCATCTCGAGCAACTCTCTATCCGTCTAGAGTTGCAAATATATATTGATACCTACTTACGAGGCACGTCTGCCTCTGCCACCTTGCTAAAGCGCCATCACCAAAGAAGTTTCAGACAACCCCGTCGGCCCTCTCAACTCTATTGCTATCCTCACAGAAGCTTATCAGGGTCCCTACGTTTGAGAGTACTTATAGAGGTCTGAACCTTCGTCCAAAGCGTCTCGAACACTCGAATAGCTCTAGAAGCACTCGCCAACAACCCCTTACCCTACCACCAGTCAACACCGCCACCACAACACCGCCATCATGTCGTACAGAATCGCAGCCCCCGATGAGTACCTTGCCATCACGGGCATGAATGTGCAGTCGGTCAAGATCACCAAGGCGACGTGGTTGTGGCCCTTTCAGCGTTGCATGCGCTTCAGCGTGCAGTCTCATGACTATCCTATGAACCTGCAGGCCATGACCAAGGAGAAGCTCATGTTTCCTGCTGCCCGTCGTCTTCATCGGCGCTCCAGACGTGACGAGAGCGGGACCTACTCGTCGGTCGAGAGCACGGGGCCGAGGCGTACGAGGTGATTGATCGGCAAGACCGCGATGATGCCCTCACTAGGTACGCGATG